CGACGCGGCCCCGCGGGGCTCCGCGGGCGGCATGGCAGGAGGGGGCTGGGCGCGGCCAGGACCGCCTGGAAAAGGGGCCGCAGGACAAAGCTGGACCAAGCCGGCCGGCGGGAGCTGCAGTACCGCCCAGCCCGAGGCCAGATTCTGGCTTCTCTCCCGCCTCCTCGGGGCGGGCCTAACGCCCCGCCCGCAGTAATCCAGCCCAGGCCCCGCCCAGGGGTCTGCCTACCAGCGACGCCCACCCAGCTTCAGTACCAGTTGGGTGCCCCTCACCCCAGGGAGTAGCCCTGCTCTCCCTGTCCCCGCCAGTGCAGCGACTCCTCCAGACTGAGCCCTTAAGGGCACAACCAACAGCTGGATACTGCGGTCAGGGAAGCCCTGCTGTGCCCTGCGCCCGCCCCTCTCCTGAGACCAATCATTATCCCAGACCCCAGAAACTGATCCTGGTGCCACCTCCGAATGTTCAGCTCATGGGCCAACCCTGGAGGGGCATGGGCCGCACCTTCCTTGTGTGGGACCTCCTCTGCTCTAGTGTCCAGTCTTGGACGTCCCGCAGGGGGAGGAGAGGGACAGAGTCACCCAGCCCCCATTCCTAGAAACAGGCACCCATTGAGAGGAAGTTCAGAGCGGCTTTGTCCCTGTCGGTGCCCACAGGCCTGGGCCCTGGCAGCTGCACTAGCTCCCTGAGATGGCCCCTTCCCCCTCTGAATGGACAGCTCTCCAACCATAGCCTGACTCACCAGTAGGGGTGGCCCGGGCCACTTGGGACCCATCCTATTAAACACTACAGTGGAAACCTTTTTTCTTTATGGAGTAAGCCCACAGAAATACTGCATTGGCTACCAGAATCAACATAGGTAAATTACAGGTGGAGAGCCTCAAGGTAGGAAAAGTCAATCTACTTTTACAAATTCGTGGAGAGTCGTTACAGGACTTAGAGGCCATAGCCTGTGCTCCAACAAGCCAGGTTTAGCTACCCATCCTCAATAAGCCAACTAAAAGAACCAAATTAATAATGAAAAATAGAACAAGATTTATTCAATATGGTCACATTGGAAGAGGGACAAGGAGGTCCGGTGTTACCTCTCCACCCCTTAGTCCAGTGATTCTCAGCCTTCCTAATGCTGCAATCCTTTAATATGGTTCCTTACATTATGGTGACCCTCAACCATGAAATTATTTTCGTTGCTAATTCATAATAAATATCTTTTTTTTTGAGACACGGTTTCTCTGTGTAGCCCTGGCTGTCCTGGTACTCACTCTGTAGACCAGGCTAGCCCCAAATACACAGAAAGGATTGTTTTAATCCCAAAGGGGTTGCAACCCACAGGCTGAGAACCATTTTCCTAGTCCATCTTGGGGGTCCTCAAGTGAGGGTAAAGTTTAAATAGAGGGGAAGACGTTTGCCTAATTAAGCAGTCCAGGTAAGGTGTGATTCTGCTGCCCATCTGTCCACAACTCCCAGTTTTTCCTGCCAGGTAATCTACCAAATTGTAAACCTTTCACCAGGAGACAAGTTCTTCCTCTGGATGCCCCAGGCCTTCACCAATTCCTCACCCAGTTGGAGATTCTTGGGGAAATTCTAATTTCTTGGGGTTCATTCTTTCAATAGTGTGGCAGCCAAAGAGGGGGCACCGATGTCTAAGCATATGCTCACTGCTGCCAGACAGCGCTCTGTCTGCATGCATTACCAACCAAGTGAGGCAGAATAAGGGCTACCTAGTCTCCTGCCATGTATATTTGAAACATTTTTTTATGTATATGAGTGTTTGCCTGCATATGTACCATGTGCATGCCTGGCGCCCTGATAGGCCAAATGAGAGCATCTGATACTCTGAACTATAGACAGTCATGGATCACCATGCGGGTGCTGGGAACCAAACCTGGGTCCTTGGCAAGAGCATCAAGTGCTAGCCATGGAGTCCTCTCTGCAGCCCGTATCACAAGACACTTCACACTTGGACATCTACTTCATCAGAATCTTTGCACAACTCCATTAGCTAAGCCAGGGCGGGTAAACATTTTTATCAACATCACTTACCAACAGAGACTCAAATGTGTTCAAGGTTTGTTTAAGGTAACACAGTAAATGGTGGAGAAAACAGTAGGAGCCACAGTTTCTAGATAGGTGAATCTTGACTCAGAGCTGAAGAGGGTTGAGGGAACTAGAGGTCATGGACAGCAAAGCAGAATGTAAATGAGTTAGGGAAAGGAAATTACAGAGGGAGGGTACCCCTAAACTTGGCCTTTGTAGGTGGGGGCACATCCTTCCAGGAGAGGGAGCAGGAGGAGCATGCCCTGCCACAGGATGCTGTCAGCCACTGATAGGCGGGCCAGAACTTGTACTAAGATTGGACAGTCATCAATACCACTGCTAGGGACATTTCTTGACATTGTGCCTGCACATTGCTGTCCTTTCTATATCATGAGCTCCAGGAATGCAAGAGCCACTGTCATCAAGCTTAGCAAAGAGCTGTCCTTTCCTGTCTGAAGTTGATTCTCTTTCTCTCTTCTGGATATGGGCTTTGGATATCACCTGTCTCTGCATTATTTGTTATCTTTAGTTTCTTCACTTAAGAAAGTCACTATGTGGAGACAGACACGAGGTCAGAGGACAGACTGTTAAGAATTTGGTTCTCTCCTTCCACCATGTAAGATCCAGGGATTTAACTCAGGCCTTCAGGCTTGGCAACAATTGACTTTTATCAGCTAAGCCACGTCACTGCCCCAAATCTTTCCTTTTTTTTTTTTTTTTTTTTTTTTTTTGACAGGATCTCATATGTAGCCCAGCCTGGAGCTTGCTATGTAGACCAGGATGGCCTCTAACTCAGAGAGACACAGCTGCTTTCTGCCTCCTGAGTGCTGGAATTTAAGGCATGCTACATCAATGGTTTTCTGTTTGCAAAATTCTAAGATGGAGGAATAGAAGGATCCAGGGGCTGGGGAGCCCATGCAGGTCAGAACACACATGCACGCACAGACAGACAGGCTGGCCTTGCTTCAAACTACTATTCCTAGTGCCTCAGGCTTCTGAATGCTGGAGCAAGCATAATACCCACCACTTCCCAACTAGCGCTTCTTAGCAGGGGATGCCGAAGCACAGAAACAGATAGTTAGGATGAGCTATATTACCACAATGGGCCTGAGTCCTGAGAGGCCATGGAACAAGGACTGAGGAATGGGTGTGAAGACTGGGGGCCCTGCAAGAGGGCTGTCCAAATCCCGAGCCTTCCCTAATCTTCAAGTAAGGGAATGCAGAACACCATGCTCTCACCAAGTCAGTCTCTCTGGGCTCCTTACCTGTGACTAGATGAGACAAAATAAGACTTTATCAGTAGGAGGCTGGCAGAATAAGTGTGATCAAGACATTAGGCACCAATATTGCAAATGAGCTTATTCCATTGTACAGATAGAAACTGAGCTGGGACAATCTAATTCTCTCAGCTCACACTGCTGAGATTTGAAGTTGGTCTTTTATGATATCAACTGTTCCTAAGTGTTTAAGACTGTGCCTGGCATAAGAATTGGATACTTAGGGAAACATGGATGCCCAGTCTCATTTCTAGCAGCCACGTGCATGGAGTGAAAAGGTAGTCAGGATATCAGGAGTGGGGAAAGTGGGAGAAAGACCAGACCATGCCCGTGACCCAGGCTTGGCCTCAATATTTCTTCAGAGTCACTGTACTCTAGGCTTCACCACCAGTCCAGGCTTCTCCAAATCCTTCCATGATCCTGGTCACACCAGAGCCCAAGAGTGAGCCTGGACATTTCTGAGACTCTCCTTACCCTCCCAGACCCTGACCCCAGGCTAACCCTAATTATCTATCCATTAAACTCCTATTTGATTAGTTTGAGCTGAGACACTTTGAGATAAAAAATTCTTTTCCTAATTCCTACTTCTGTTGGTACCTTTCTAGAATACTTCCAGCTACCTGCCCATGTACACAGCTGGCCTCTGGCAACCCAAGCCATACAGAGAGGTCATTACATATTCCTTCCCTCCACAGGACCCTGTGTCCTTAACTGTGATTTAATGTCATAGAATCTTAAGAGAGAATTGGGTATATTCTCTTTGAAGTTCACAGAGAAGAGAAAGGCACAGAAAAGCACCAGGAACATGGCCAAGGTCATGGCTGAACTGGGAACTGAAGGGACTCAGGTCCCTCATAGGGCCCATTCCCCCATATAAGCAAGCATAACAATTGTTTCTTGCTGTAAGATACTGTCCCCTATATTCACTCTTGAGGTAATAGGCACCTTGGGTGTGGTGCGTCGGGGGAGGTCGAGGGTAGATGGTCAGTGTATGATGTCATCCTGCCACCTAGCCACAGCTAGAAAGGGGCACTCTTCCTCCAGAGACTGTCTTTAGGCATGCCAGGTTCCTGCCTGTCTGCAGTGTGCTCCACAACAGACACAGTCTCTACTCCAGGCTGAAGGCTTGGGTGGTATGAGCAGCCACTTCTCAGGCAGCCTCAGTCTGGCCTTAAGAGCTGGTCCTGGCAGTGGGGCGGGTGTATGGGGGGAGTGCCAGGTTATCTTTAAATGGCACTTTACTCAGCCTGTGGCTCTGCCAGCTGGGCAGGGTGGGAGCAGACAAGTGTTATTTTGAGATCTGAGTGAGTGGCGAAGGCTGCTTACAGCCTTCCTGTGTCCCCTCCTGGGAAGGGCTTGGGGCCACAGTACTCAGCATTCCAGCTGAGGGTTGTTTTCAGTCATCCTAGCACAGCCAGGAACTGTTCAATTTGGATGCACAGGGCCTTTCTGACAGGATCGGCTCCGCCGGGGCAGGTTTAGGTGATGATAATTCCATTAGATTCAAAATCACACTAATAAGCCAAATCTAATACTGTAAGCCTCACTTCAAAATGCTTTGTATTGTACTAACTTTAATTCTTACAATCACTCTGTAGAACAGATAGCAACATACCTGTTCTGTGGATTTGGAAGAAAATTTAAGTAAAGCTTGCCCAAAACCATCAAAGCTGTTAAGTGGCCCTGCCAGGACTCAAAAATCTAGCCTGGCTCCAGAGCCCATGCTGTGAATCACAAACTAGGTACAAGTCTTGTTCTGATATTTCCTGACTGCCAACTCCAAGCCTCCAGACCCGCCCTGGTCTTGGGTCCCTCATCTGGAAAGATATGGTTCAGTCAGACCCACTAGAACTCCAAAGTCAGAGCTTAGAGCCACCAGGCCACCTGTCTTTCTCTGATCTGGAGAGCTTAGGGTCATGCCGGCCTGGCTTCTCTACAGTTGTTACTTAACCCTTCCCATAAACTCAAGGAAAGGAGCTGCTTCGGGAAATGAGAGTGAAGAATTTGCAAATACAAACTCAGGTG